ATAGACCACAAAGTTGAACCGTGTGTTTCGTGAGTATTCAATCACTGAATCACCAACGTGTGATACAGAGGGGGGGTCTCAATTAGTATTTTAAAAGTATTAAATATTATTAGCTATCGAAAGCAAAAAGGTGACAATCAGGTAAACAATTAGATTGAAAAGTATTGGTTTTGTAGGGATTTTGTTTGATTGCATGTCGTGAATTGGCAGAATTTAGAATTCAAGAACCATTGAATCAGGTCTAAGTGGCTCAATGGTCTACAAGCTCACCTTCTAACCAGAAGGTCCTGGGTTCGAACCCCGTGGTGTGAGTGCGTACTGATGAAGAGTCCCAAACTAGCTTGACGAAACAGCTGTCCAATACTCCCAGGTTTTCCAGCGATTCTCTGACTGATTTCAGCTCATGATGAAATCCTCCATGCAACTGGACAATTAGATGTCTAGAGGCGTCACCCTACTCCACAGTTTAGATGAAAATACATGAAACATGTGAACAGTAACAAGTGAATGAAAGTGAGTTTTAATTGGCTCACTAAATTTACTTAAGTCAAGAAAGTAGCAAGGATAGAACCAACTACTCCTTTTAATTCAAAGATGAGTGTTATCCATCTTAAATTCTCATGACTTCAGCTTGTGTGTAAGAGCCAACCGAGGAGATCTACAAGTCAGTTTTGATAGGATGCGACGGATAACCATGCAAGTGCTTCCTCCGTTGACAATGGGGACCACCACCGTCACTTAAGTGACATGAAATGAGACAAAACAATATTCTTCGGTTATACTGTCTGGTTACAGTGAGTGTTTTGCCTCTAAATAAAAGGTGAATTTGACTTAGTTATTGTTGTGTCCAACTGAATCAGATAAATGCACATTACTGAAGTAAAATGTATGACAGGTTTGTGCACCCCTATTTCGATAATAAGAAGACGTAAATTGTATTAATCGTGTGTGTAATGTATTTGCGTGTGGAGCACATTTCGAAAAATCTGATCACACTCCACGTACTTGTCATATGAACACATGTATGAAATTAATAAAGTGTTGAAAGGTGAGAAAATAGACTTAGGTCAAGTTAAAAGGACATATTGAAGGTCAACATATCAAGTCTTTTAAACATGCGAAAAATGATGTCACATCTCACTGTATTTACTAATTTGAACGTACATGTGGACACAAATACATGGGGAGGACTCATCGACCTATGCAAGTAAGGCCTGGCTTCAGAGCATATTCCTAAATAGCTTTAGAAACAAATGGAATCTTCGGAATCCATTAATGGTGAGAACACGGGACCTAGCTCCTCTATTGTGAAATATATCATAGAGACAGGACATAAAATAGATATTAACGGATCTTTTAAACCTATCTATAAGACGTGTTTAGGGTAGGGTGTATCATAAAGTTTGTGGAAGTTTAAACCACCTTTATTTGGTCAAAAACAATTCGTCATCACACTAAGCCTTTCTTGGTAAAATTTATTTTGACAATAGCCAGGGTAGATGTACTATTACATCTGCTATTTGGTTTAGTGATCTTCATTGTTATTTTGACCTTGAATATAGTGGCCTTTTAACTTGACCTAAATTTATTTTCTCACTTCTCAACTCTTTATTTATTTCATATATGTGTTCCTGTGATGTGTGATCAGATTGTTCAACATGTGTTGCGCAAATACATTTCACACACGATTCAGACAGTTTACATCTTTTTATTACTTTGTCTAAATTCATAAAGGGGACTAATTGTTTTAAACATGCATATATACCTCGCTAATAAATAGATCTTGTAGGTATATAAACCAAACTGCAAATGATTCTTAGCATGACTATTTGAAGTAAATCAGAGTTCCTCCGCATTTACTACATTATTCCCCTAGGATGGTGTTGTACTACTTCATCGTTAAAAATGACCAACTTAGACTTTCGAATGCAAGTTCTGTAAGTGAATGCAGATAAAAACGGTGTACTGGACAGCTGTTTCGTCAACTTAGATGGGGACTCATCAGGAATACGCACCCACGACAGTTCTAACACAAGACCTTCTTGTAACAAGGTGAGCTTGTAGACCATTGAGCCACTGGAACACGATCCAATGGCCAGCCGATGAATTCTAACTTCTGCTAATTTACGACATGGCGCGACCATTTCACAATATCTTCTTCTATGAGTTACTGCCCCATCTTCAACCTGCTTTACCTTACTGGTCCCGGCTTCCCACTAGTTTCCCAAGTCACTGCCTGAATAAAGCCAGCGGATCGGGTCCAAGTGGATTAATCGTCTACGAGCTCGCTAGTCGTGTAACCATACGGGTTCTATTTTTAGAACCCTGGCGGAAATATGCTCATGAAGAGTCCCAAACTAGGTTGACGAAACAGCTGTCCACTACTCCCAAGTTTTCCAGTGGTTCTCTAACTGATGTCAGCTCATGATGAATACTTCCATCCAATTAGACTAAATCCCTACCCAAACCAAGACTTGATATTATAAAAACATGTTTCCGTTTGTAGGACTGTCTGTGTATTTCCGAATGTTCTTTATTATCACTTGGGCGATCAGATAACATTCGCCAATAAGTTTTACCAAAACTTTCATTTAGCTGGGTTTTCAATAATCGTTAAGAATTATTATTGTTATTATTCCCTTGGGTTCCGAGTGGAACATATAAGCACATCTCCATCTCATCTAGTTCTCACCAGTTCTCTCTTTAGTTGACTTCACGATTACTCATAGACTGGGCTGTCATCTGCTCCTCACAGGGTATTCTTCAATTCACCTGCCGATATCACACGAGTCATTTTTTTTATTTGTGTTCCAATCAAAAGATCTTCTTGGGGAGTAGTATTACTCAGTGGTCTCTTCAGCGCGTGTACCAACTCTATTCCGCCATCTGATCATCACTGACAAGCAAATGCAAATGTTAGCAAAAGTCTTAAGCTGTTGAAAATCCTTTCCATGACTTATATGCTGTCTTGTAGACATGTCTTAGCTAGTGATGCCTGTTGTCCTATTTGGCAAAGTGTCCTAATATTAAATGCTCCTATATGAAATTGGTGGCGTGGCTTTAGGAGACTATCGGTGGCAGGTTTTTTTGGCTTCCGTCGCTTTTAGCAGGCACAGAGTGATGAGAGAGTGAGGAGCCATCAGGTAGAGGAGTTGCATCAGTTGGAGGAAGGCAAGGTAATAGAGATGAAGATGAAGACAAAGATGAGTGAGGATTCAAGAACTGTCGTGTGCATTTCGGATTGTGAGGGCGTTTGTTACTTCCCGGCTGCCTACACCGTGGAAGTTGGTTGCGTGACCGCAGAGACTAGGGGACAACTGCTTGAGCCAGGCCGGTCACACGCGGCCTGTTTTTGTTTGTTCTTTATTGTTTGGTGTGTCTCAGTAGCATATTTATCACTCCTGCCCTGTGATACGTCAGCAGGAAGCGCGGTCGTTGTTAATCCAGGCCACGGCCGATCCGGCATGATATTTTGGGAATTTGTTTGAATCATGGTATTGGATGGGGTAGCTGCTTTTTGTTTAACCGCTATCCAAACAACATGCCTGGCATGGTAGAACCTCAAGTGACATAAGTCTCAGCCAGTATAGCTTGATTAGGTTATTGCGGTGTTCGGGAGGTAACAGCTTTCGGTAGGGCTTGTAAACATATAGAGGTACTAACTTGACATTAGATTTGAAAATTCCACTCTTATCCTTCTCCCTAAAAGCCAACGTTCTCCACATCGAATTCAGATTAGCGAAGGAGTGTTTAACTTTTACCATCATAGTTGGCTTCAAAATTCTCATCTGTTCCAGCTGTAGTTGAAACCATGCTGGCTGCTGCTCTATGTTTATTTCACGAATTGGCAGAACCTAGAATTCACAGTCATTTACACCAAGTTTCAGTGGATGAATTGTCTGAGAGTTTGCCTTGTAACTGGATGCTCCTGCGTTCGAGCCCCTGTGGATGCGCACTGCCAGTGAGTCCAAGACAAGGATGAAGCAACTGTCCAGTACTCCAGTCAAGGTTTTTATTGGTCCTCTAACTAATATCGATCCGTGGAGCAAATCAAATTCCTTCACATCAAATCCTGAAAACTGTTGATTTTTAGATACATGATATCCTGCTTGAAGTATGAGCTGCTGCATGATGTGCTTCACTATAGCTGATTTTGGACGTCTATTTCAGGGAATCACTTGTATTCAGTGATTTTATTTATTGTTGCCGCCACTTTGAAATATGTTCTGTAGCTCTAACCAGCATAGACTGATGGGTCTTTTTTATGTACATCTGTCGACACATACATATAAATTGGCGAACCCAGTGGGATGTAATATTATCTTTCCGATGTTGTGAGGATTCACAGGACGACATAGAGCTCGTTTTCTCTATGGAAGTAAGTTTGGCTGCATAGTAAACTCTAATAATTACCACCTTGAGTTTTTGTTTAGGGATGGCGAGGATATATAGACATCATTTATGGGAGCTGACTGGATAGGTAGAAAGAATCATTGTTATCTAACAATATTTCTGTGAGGTATTGTGTCTCTTCTTCAATAGTGTCGACTATACATTTATGTTGAATGGATCTGTACAAAAAATCTAACCATGTGGACTTTATTTAGAGAGATTGGCTTACTGACTTATTTTGTCGGATGGTTATGAGTGCATCTAAAAATGCCAAGCACTCATTATTCTCTTTCACATGCATTACAAGTTTCAGGTAGAAACTTATTTAAAATTGTGCGCCAGTATCGATTGCAATCCATTACGATGATTAGATGATTAAAACAATACGAAGCAGAGTAAAATCAAGGCATTTTGATGGATGAATAGGTGGTGTAGTGATTTAAACAGGTCGCCATATCATAACTATGCGATAATGATGAGAATTAAAGTTTAAATGCAGTTACTTTGAAAGTCTCCTTTACACATTCAAAGATTATCTAATTTCAGTGAATATCCTATAAAATTTGAGAGCCGTGTATACAATGTATAATATGTGTTTGTTTGAGCAGTGAGCGAAGAGTGAGTTTGAGTCTTTTGAACCTTTTCAATATATATATATATATAATCGATTATTATTTTCAAAATGAAACTGCCTTTAATTGTATGACAAACATTTCAGTTGATAAGCCAGCTTAACTCACTTGATTTTCTAACGATTAGAAGCGAGAAGCAGCAAACGTAAGTTTATCACAGTTTTTTTCGTAACCGCGGTGATTTGAAATAATAATGTCAAGCTAATTACATCACGCTTGTGGGAAAACGTTGCTCCTGGAGTTTTAATAATCCACGTACTCCTTGAGATTCTGCCATTTTGATATTGATCATGCTTTATTAATGTGTCCATTGTTATCCTCTTCTGTTACCGCTCGTTTCCGTCCCAAATACAACACAGGCTTGGCTTCACTAGCAGTGGTTTCATTTTTTTCACTAAGTGAGGTTACTCTCCTCCCAATCAAAATTTCCTCTTTACTGAGATTATTCTTATTATACTTTTGATGCAGGGAGACTCATTGTGCTGAAGTTTCTGTAGCGACTTTATTTACTGGATGTGGTTGCTAGCCTGACGCTTGAGAAGGCGGGGGGGTTATTACACTAACATGCAGTTTACAAAGGAGTGAGTTGCTCCCCTTATTATTATTATTGTTCCCTTGGGTACCTAGTGGAACATAGGGCTTCAACTGCACGTCTCCACTTGATTCCGTTTTCCTTCTGCTGTACTGTTCACCTGCATCAATGTTAGTTAGTCCATACTGTTTCAACTCCTCTTCACACGATCTCCTCCTCCATGTCACGATTGCACTGACGTCCCACTCGCCTCTTTCCTTTCGGGTTCCACTCGAGCAATGGCCTGGCGTGCAATGTCAAGCAATGGCCTTCTCAGCGAGTGTCCAATCCATCTCCACTTTCTCCTGCGTATTTCTTGGGCGACTGGTTCTTGTTTTGTTTGTTCCCATAGTTTCTTGTTGGTGATTCTTTCCGGCCCGACCATCTGATCTTCAGTATAGAGCGAGAACAGTTGTTGGTTGATGAAGGTCTGCAACAAGCTGTTGGTCTGACGCATAATCCAGTCAGTTCACCACAATTAGGAATATCATTGTGGGTGATAATAATCACCCTTGTCTGACTTCCGTGTTTACTCCAAACGTCTCACTGAGTTTTCTGTTGTGGATCACTTGACATGTGCAGGTGTCGTTGTCGTACAGCTGTTGAATAAATTTGATGAATATTTGGGGCACTAGACGCCGTAATGCTTGAGTAATTTCCAAATTACTTCGTGGTCAACGCTGTCTGTTGAAGGCCTTCTCAAAGTCGATAAAGTTGAGGTAGAGGTTTGATTACCATTCCATGCTTTATTCGATGGTGATGAGTTACTCCTCTTAGAATCACGAAAATAAGGAATAAAGTAATCAGAAACAACACCAGCAAAAGGAAAATAGGAAATTAGCAACAGGAAGGGCAACAGCAACAACCACAATAAAAAAACCTTAGCAGTAGTATCACAGTCAGATACAGTTAACAAAAATGATACCAAAACCATAGACTCACTGGCTTGGGCGGACATAGACAAGTAAATCTATCAGTATATACAATTAAAGATGTTGTTATGTATATATATATATATATATATATATATATATATGTATATATATATATATATATGTATATATATATATATATCGCCCTAATGGTTGGGGTAACGATGACTTCAGCGTCACTTTGAGAGCGATATGGAAGAGATCATGTGAGGAGGAGATGAAATCTTCTAGGTAATCATGGGGTTAGCTAAAGAGGACTATGAAGGAAAGAACAAAATTGAAATCTGCTGTGGAAGCTCTATGTTCTTATCGGAATCCGAGGGAGTAATATTAATAATAACGCTAGTTAAATCAGTGATTGTTGTACAACCGAAAGCAAGTTATTTTCAACTCAGACCCTGGTTTTTCAGATAGCCACAGTGTTTTCGTCAACAAAAATTTCCACACCAACAATATTAATGCGATCTTAATCACAATACTTTTTGATGAAGAAAGATGCATTCAATGTTTGAAGCTTGAATTAATTCACATAATGTTTTTGTTATGAATTATTATTATCACTATTATTATTCCCTTGCGTCCTGAGTTGAACATAGGGCTTAAACAACACATCTCCACTTTTTCTGTTTTCTTCTGTCCTATGCAGCTGAGTCCATGATTGACCAAACTCCCTCATCTCTTCCTCACACGATATCCTTCCACTGATGACTCAGTTGTCTCTTTCCATTTGGATTTCACTCGAGAGCCTGGCGCGCGATGTCGCTGAATGGCCTCTTCAATGTATTCCCGATCCATCCCCACTTTCTTCTACATATTTGTTAGGTGATCAGCTCTTGGTTGTTTCTTTCATCGCCATAGTTGCTTGTTACTAATTCTTTCTGGCCATTAGATCTTCAGTGTGCAGCGAAGGCAGCTGCTGGAAGTCCTTTTCGTGACACGACAACTTTCTAACCCATATATAGAAGGACCAGCTTCACATTGGTGTTGAAAATGCGAATCTTGTTCCTTAGGCTGAGTGCGGATGATTTCAAAACTGGTTTTATGTTGATAAAGGTGTATCTTGGCTTTTCCGATTCTTTGACTTTGATATCATCGTCCGTTTCGCTTGTAGTTTAATCAGTACTTCCTGGCTGGATAAGTGAAGAAGTCAACCATTGCGAAATCTCTCCCGTTGATGGTGATTGGTACATGCTGTTGTTACTGTTGATTGGTATTCTTCATCACCCCCATCTCTTCTCTGTCAATCTGCAATCCTGTTTTTACGCTGCCTATTCAGTCAGTTTGTCGATTTTTGCTTGCAAGTCTTCGAGTTTTCACGGTATTAGACATATATCATCTGTGAAATCCAGATCTTTTAGAGTCTTCTTATTTGTCGTCTAGCAAATTTCTGAATACTTGCCGCCCCCCTCCAACAGTCTGACGCATCGGTGAAGGAAGAAAAGGGACGCAGTGATTCGGAAAAATGTTGTCTTGTCAAAACACTAAAGCAAGGCGACTTTTTTCTCTAAAGAACTGGCATGAAACTATGCTCTTTTTTTCACACTATGCAAACTACTGAATCCCGTCAGTCTGGAGACAGTAAAAGATGCACTAGATGTGGAACTCCGACTGGAACAAGCCGGATTTAGGGAAATTAAATCATAGGCGGATAAATCTGCAACTGTACTCATAATCACCGGATGAAGAGTTGAATATTAATCAAACGTCTGTCTGTTTCAACTGTATTGACTTAGAAAAGGCTCTCGACAGCAATGACCAAGAAGTAACTTGGAGACTACTTCCAAGCTGTGGCTTGGCCGAAATCGTTATCAGTCCCATTCAACAGCTAAATGACAATGTCGCTTGTCAAGTGATCTGAAACGGAAATCTCAGTCAAGCTTATGAAGTGAAGACAAGAGCTAGACAAGGCTGCTTACTGTCACTAATGATTTTTCTAATTCCGGTACAGTGGCTTGTGCGTTAGATTATGTGGGGGGGCGGGTACGATAAGACAGGAGTATGCTGGATCAATAAGAGGACTCTAGAAGATCTGGACTCCGTTGGTGATTTATTTCTAATGTCACACAAAATCTAATTCCTGCAGCAGAAGTCAAATAACTTAGACGAAGAGATGCCTAGCGAAGGTTGGACTTTAAATGAACATAAAGAAAACGGAAGTGATGAAGAAACCCGGGAACCAACAACAACAACCAGCACCAGTCACTGCCAACAGGAGAAATCTGAAAGAGACGATTTCCTCCACTAATCCAGGAAGAATCGTTTAAACTACAGGCAGTCGATACTGATAAGAATGTCAGAACCAGAATCGAAAAGACAAGGCACACCTTCGTCACTCTGAAAACAGTTTGGAAGTTTTCTGCACTCAACATAAAGAACAAGATTCTGATTTGCAATAGCACTCTTGAGGCAGTTCTTCTATATGGCTCAGAATCTTGGCGATTGCGTCAAAAAGTGAATTTCCAACAGATGCAGACTTTTTTCAACAGATTCCTTCGCTGACTTTATATTGAAGATTATACGGCCAGAAACAAACAGCTTCAGGAAACTCTGGGAACTAACAAACAGGTGAGAAGCCAATGATTAAGAAATGGAGATTGATCGGACTTCCGCCAAGGAGATCGTCGAATAACATCTCGGCGAAATGAGTGTTTTTCTGAAGGTGACGTGGAGGAGACCGTGGGGTATCTTGAAGCAAGCTGAAGAACAGGACTAAATGGAGGTGTTATTTTGACGTCCCGTGCTCCACTTGCAACCCAAGGGAATAATGAAAAGACAGTTAGTGAAGACCGCCTGTTACAAGCGGAAAAATGTCACTATTTCAAAACTGTAATATACACTTACACCAGCTGACATTCACAAAAGGTAAGTCAGTTTTGTGACAGTGAACATTCTTCCCCAATGTGTTTTGTTTAAATGAAAAGCCTTTTTCTGCTTTCAGTGAGGCTCCTACAGGTATTTGGTAAGTTAAACTGTATTCATCCAATGCGCTGAAATGTTATGAAACCATTGTGGACAAGTCACAATAGAATAATGGTTTCCAAGATTAAGAAGACCAATTTCAGACTCAAAGATTTCAAAACAAAATTCAGCATTTTTGGTCAACGACTTTCATCAAAAGAGATTAAAAACAAGAGGTCAGAACTTTCTTTCAATATACATTTTGTCACGGACAGATGTCATTTGAAGAGCCATTGACATGACGTGGGGGAAAAGAGGTCACTGAGCAATTATTTCGTCCTAGTTCGTGACTCATCAGTAAGACGCACCCATGGTGACTCTTCGATCTAATGGGCTAGTTATAACCTGTCACATGTTCTAACAGTTGAACTGTCAGGAGAAAAAGGGTAACCTGTAATTCTCAGAAGCGATAACCAATTGTCATAATATCAGTTATAAGTCGTGTTTGTCTCTTTCAAACTCAGTATAATTAGGATCATTGAATAAATTATTTAACAGTTTGACATTTGTTGTGATCTTAATGACTGCAGTAAACTAATGACCTACTTACGATTCACGCCTCGTAGATCGGCTGGCACGAAGTCATTCTAGTAGTCTAGGCAGTACTCTTTCAAATCCTGCTTCTACTTGGGTCTTTGTTTTCCCTGCTAGCATAGGCCTGTGCATTATTAAATTCTAGTTTATTTTTTAAAATTTTTATTCCTTTACGTTCTCAGTGGAACATAAGGCACCTTCAAGCTAGAGGCTTGAAGTTTCGATAGCAGTCGTGTGTTTATTTTTACGCGATGGGGTTGCTACCCTCATGCCCAACATTCCGTCTTTACCGGTCTTATTACTGACTTGGCTAGGTAAAGGAGTGCGTCGGACCACCTGCGTCATTGGCGAGCATTCTATTGCTGTGCCACTGACGCACAGCATATTCTAGTGGGAATCTGTGATCATCGGGGTCTACCAAGCTGCTAGTTACGCCTGATAATCTCGGAGAACATCGTTTGGCGATCACACTATGTCATGAATTAGTAGAATTTCGAAGTGTTGAGCTCCCAGGATTCCGTCTCAGTGGGTCTGGAATATCTTAGATTCGATTCCTGGAGGAGTTACGGTTGAAACCCAAACAAAGGTGGTTGTCAATGGTTCCCTAACTTAAATCAGCTCATGGTCAAACTTAAAACCAATCAAATCCTTGAAAAGTAATGCTTGAGACTGAAAATAGTCTATCGATTTAATTCTGTTTCAATTGATCTGACTACCAGTTATTGATTTGTTAGGTAGTGTTTAAATCATTGTGTAACACGCACACACACCTACTGTTAATCTGTATTTCATGATGTCTTAACACACGCACATACTTTGAAACCGTCCCAACTATTTTAACATCATGTGATTTAACAAAAAACCCTAACCATGTAAGTGTACACCTCAACACACACACAAACAAGAGGATTTTATTGTTTCATACACCAATAACAAGAACAAGAACAACAACCACACTTAGTCTGCTCAACACTTGTGATTAATTAAGAATACTTAAATTCATACGTATCTAATTACTGTCAATCATTTATCACAACCATACAATTGAGTTAAATAGTTAAAAAAGTGCCTATCATTTCTGGAATAAAGAACAGTAGAACTAGAAGGGATTTTATAGACACTAAGACTCGAACCCAGGACCTTCCAGTTACAAGGCAAGCTCGTTTGCCTTACAACCACCGGGACCTGAATCATTGACCAGCCCATTTTTGATTTAGCGCGACTAGCACCAACTGATGTGACCAGTGAGTTCCATTCAGTCAAGTGTGAGGAAAGATGTCCCACCGACGAAATTGGTTGGGGTGGCAATAAATCGCGAATCGGTAGAAGTTTGAATTCATGGACTGGCTATTAAGGAGTCTCGACAAAACAATAAGAAGACGTAGTTTATCTGAAACGTATAATGTATTGGCGCAACACATTTCGGACATTCTGATCACACACGTACTTGTCATACACAGTTTTTATAGAAGGCAAGAAGGCATGAATAATTACAATACAGGTCAGATTGTGTACAGGTCAAGGCCACAAAATAATGGGTAGGGAGACACAAAAGGTGTGGGTAAGAAAGATAAAGGGAGGAAAAAAAGGCGAAGAAAGGGTTTGAAAATATTATGAAGTAAAAAAAAAAATTGGTTCTAAGTTGGATTACCAAGGCAGGTTTAAGGTGATAACAAATAACTTTTGGACGCATAAGACAGGTTTAAGTCTTTTAATGGCTAAGGCTTCAATGAATTTAAGTATGTGACCCAACCTTGTCTTATATATCGGCTTAAAGGCATTATTAAAATCAACCTTATGACCCGTCTCTATAATATGCTTCGCTATAGATGATGTTGGACATCTATTTCCCCGGTCAATTGTATCTGGCGATTTCATTTGTTGTTGCAGCCACTTTGGAATGTGTTCTGTAGCCCTAACATGCAGAGACCGATGGGTCCTCCCTATGTACGTGTCTCCACACATACATGTAAATTGATAAACACAGTGGGAGTCGGGTCCCAGTGGCTAAATGGTATACTAGCTTACCTAGTAACCGGAAGGTCATTGGTTCGAACCTCGCATGGTGTGGGTGTGTACGGCTGATGATTCCCAAACTACGATAAAACTCCTTTTCAGTACTCCCTGGTTGGTTCTCAATGTTTCTCTAACTGATATAAATTCTCAATCGACTCGTAAAAACAAATTAACTATAGAAAATATTAGAGAATTGTGACTTTTTGTTGTGGAATGTTTTAGGTTGATTTAGTAAAGTGAATGATCATTTGATTGAAAATCTATACAGATGAATTAGGCTTGTAGGCAATGCAAAACGGTGATCATTCCAACTCCATAAACTCTTATTTGAATGTAGACAAACGACAGCTTGATGGTTTGGTGGCGTATTACCTCGAATTTTAAATAAGATTTCACTACGCAGTCACATCAGTTAGAGAAGCATTGAAATTCAGGGAGTTCTAAACAGATACACTGTGCACTTTTCATCTCAGTAAATTAGTATTCCGTAAGGAGGATGTCGTTACTCAAATAATGGTAGGAAATCCAATGACTGATGAACTCTTATTTATATCGATGTGTGACACATAGCAACATAGTATGAACAAGAAGAGTACCTGTCTTCCTAACGGACTTGTGAGACCTAACTAGTCACGATTTCTAGATAGAACTCGATGATATTCATCAAATAGTCAGTCATTAATAAGAAGTTGATTAATCCGTTAGGCTTCAGATTCCTACTCACTGACTGATTGGCACCGTGCTTGCTTCGAAAGCTCAATTTCATGAGTTCAATCACTTTAACGTGAGTGTGGTCACAGCCACGTTTGTCTGTAGAATATTTGGCTTTTTGAAGTCAAAATTAGGAATATCACCAGCAAACATTTGACACAAAATACACATTTCCAGTAACAGCGGCTTCAAAAATAGAAAGTCACATTATCTACTACGTTGGAGATATTCACTCCAGATTTGACACCCGTTTCAGTAGATTAGAAACAACCAAAGTGAGAGTTTATTGTTCACCTGATTTTGATCTCACAGAAGTGTTTATTATTTGTTCATGGATTGACCTCAGTTAGAGAACAACAGAAAACCAGGGAATACTAGACAGCTGTTTCATCCTGATCTGGGACTTTTCGGTAGTATACACCCTGGAGAGATGTCATCGCTACCATTGAGGTCCACCTCAACAAGAATGAGGACAGATACTAGCTGATAACACTGGCTAGTTGTTTATCAAGAATCACAAATTGGTGGAAGTTGGATTTCAGTGCCATAATTATAAGAGAAAAGCACACAAATTAAATAAACAGATCAATGTTTAACCCTGTACCTTTAAAGTAGGGAATAAGGAATGCACACGCCTTATTTTCACAAAGGCTCAGCTTTAATTTGTGTATAGCGATGTTCTCCATAGGAATTGCATACAAACACTATTCAAAAGAGCAAAGACTCATTGCAGCACTCCCACCTTAAGGAAAATTGAAGAAAAGTATCTCATGGACGTCTTCCAAAAGAATGGATATCCACGGAATTTCATCAAAAAACATATACCTCCAAGCCAACCTACCAAAGCAAAAGCCACCAAAGAAAACACAAAGAAAATCGCCTTACCATACATAAAGGATATCTCAGAAATCACTACAAGATTCTTCAAACCTTTAGGAATTGACGTCGTACACAAACCAACAAAGTCGCTTCACTCAATTCTATGTCAACCAAAAGACTCAACAGCGAAAGAAGATAAAACCAACATCATCTACAAAATAAATTGCAACAAATGTGAAAAACACTACACTGGCCAAAGCGGACGTCCCCTTCGTCTTCGTATCCACGAACATTAGTTAGCCGTCAAAAGACATGATATCCACTCCCTCATATCACCACATACAGACAACCACGGACATCAATTCGACTGGGATAACGTTCAAATATTAGACAGAGGAAACATTAAGAATGCTAGAGAATTTTTAGAAGCTTGGCATTCCAGTGAATCATCAATCAATAGACACATCGAGATAGACAAAATTTATCAACCGATAAAGAAAGAAACTTCACACATAAAGGGGAAAAGTTCAAATCAAAGAAACAGTCAGTTTCAATACAAGTAACCTAGAAGATGTTAAAACACACATAAACAACCAATCATGTCCAAGGTCACCAGGAGAGATGATTAATAAACTCGTGGAGAAATCTAAAAGCTCACTTCAAATTGAAGTATGCGCTGAAGGTGATGAAAGCTTCGCAAATTAACCATCCAGTTCAGAGAACAAAACCACATCAAAAAGATGTTCTCCATCTTTTGGGTATTGAGAAAACGCATCTAGTTGACATAAACTTGACAGGTGGTCTTAAATTCTTCATTGGGAGGGGTTGACTGACACACAGGCCAAAGATAAAGCTTTCCAGTGCTTCACTTTCCTCCTCGTAAAATCATCGTACAGTGAACTGTCGTATGGGTGAGGAAAACTATCCATAGCTACAATCGATGTACCTTGCTTCACAAATTCGGGTGAATTGATAGATGCATATGAAAGTGGCCCAATTGAGGGAGGTTATCTTTTACATAAATCGGAGAACTCTTGGTGGCTGATTGTAAGTCAACAGACATTTTGCTAAGCAAAGAACGTCAATTTTTTGAGCATACCTGAAACATGATCACCACTGGTTTCTAGATTTCGGAAGATGGTTTTCTGTGTAGTTTGAGTTCATGCGACCAGTGTAGTATTTTTGTCATTCATGTATTTATCAAGTGTTTGGAAGGCAGAAGTGATACTTTAGACTGATTAAATTATTTTTATTAGGCTATCTAACTTTCAGAAATGTATTCATATACTCACATTTTCATATCATTTTATAGGAAAATGATCAATATTATAAAGTAAGCTATTCCTTCTCCTATCTGACATACATATGTAATACCCTTTAACTTTGTTAATGTTTAGCGAAAGAGTTTTTCAGATACCATAATGATTGGGTGAAACATTTATTTGAACTAATATCTAGATGCCCCCCCCCTCCATAAACGACGTTGTCTGGCTATGGATGGGTAGACTTTGGTCTTCCTCTCTAAATTCTCTCATCATAATAGCCACACATTCTTAGCATCAGCCAGTTAACTTATATTCATTGCTTACAAGGACGAATTTGGACGTCTGTCACTCACAGCCGGACTGGTGGGCGTGTTGGTAAAACTCTAGGAGAGCTGGAAAACCCTGATTCCGAATCAATGGTGTACATGGATTCTGGAATCCGAAGGGATACGGTGACGTGTAAATCTGGTGTCGTCATCAGCGATTATCAGAATATAGTCGCACTGTGCTGTTCCGCTGCCTTTTGTGTCAGACTTCACGCCGAATATTTGGGAGGTGACTTCTTAAGATAACCATCTGCGAATGTTTGGTTTTCCGAAGAGTTAGTATCTCAGCCCTCTCATAAACTATACGATTTTGTGTTGCACATCTTTTCCATAGACAAACAACAAAACAAATCCCTTCACGTTCCCAGTGGAACATAGGGTTTCAAGCTAGTGCCTTGAAGTTACTGCAGCAGTGTTTATTTCTACAGGATGGGGTTGCTAGCCTCATGCCCAACCTTTCCTCTTTACCAAACCCACTACTGGCTTAGCGAGGTAAAGGAGTGCGCCGGCCGAGGTTCGAACCCTGGACCATGTGCATGGTCGGCGTGCGTCTTAACCGCTGTGCCACCGACGCACTCTTTTCCATAGAAATGATTGGAAACCCCTTTTCACTGAGCATTTACGGGGCTGAAAACGGTTGATTTCGACTGCTTATGACAAATGACTCTAAATTAGAAACACGCCTATCTATTGCGTAGTGATATATACTACCGATCGATATGAGTAGAATTTGGTACCGATTTAACCAGCAGTATACTCGGGGTGAATCAGCACTGAAAGACAAATGTGCGGAATCCACACAAACTCTGGCTATCTTCTTCGATGAACTGATAATACACCTATTTAAATTCATTGAAAATCTCATAATTCGAATTGTGAAAATTATTCAAGACAATAATATCCAGGCTGGATGATGGCATCATTGCCAATCAAGAAATCAAATGAAACTGCACGACGGTATGTCAAATTTTCATTGTTCCTTTGAATTCCGAGTGGAACATCAAACTTCGATACTTTTAGAATTCTCTGGAGTCTTCCTTAGCTGGCCGCACGGTTGCCCACAGCATCTCAACCCCCTTAACACTGTCTCCTCAATGTCATACTGAAACGCCAGCTGAGGCCTTGGTACGTGTTGCCATCCAATGGTCTCTTCAACAGGTATTTAATCTATCTCCATATTCTTTGGTATATTTGTTGAGCGATAGGTTCTTCGTTGATTCGTTTCCAGAGTTTCTTGTTGCTTAGTTCTTATGACTGGCTATCTGGTCTTCAATACAAAGCCAGCAAAAGGGGGCAGCTGTTGATAACCGTTTGCAGCAGCCTGATTTAAATGATGCAAACACCAAGTTTTGACCCATGTAGAAGAACTGACTCACTTGATATTGGTGTCAAGAATAGGAATTTCGCTCTTTATGCCGAGTTCAGAAGATTTACAAACTGACTTTAGAGTATTGATGATCGTATATAAAGACGAACTGTGAGCTGTATAAGGCTGATAGCCATCAACTGCTATGGTATAAGAGCTTAACGGTCCGCAGTAATCAACAGGCGGATACTCAGACAAAGAATAAAGGGATTAGAACAAGCAGTGTTTAACAGACAGCGGGATATAAATAAAGCCTGTACAGTAGATGTCGTTCGAATGAAACAAGGTCAAATAGAGTATGTGAACTTTAAAAGTGATACATTTCAATAGAGTAAAGATATAATTCAGGAATGAACGTAGAGAAAACAGAGATGATGAAGATTCCTGGCCAACACCAGCAAAAACAACCACAGACAACAATCAGCATAAATGACAGGAACCTGAAAGAAACAACCTCCTTCACCTACCCACCTCTGAAGGATCGTTTCAACTACAGGCGAAACTGACGAGGCCATCAAAGCAAGGATCAGAAAAACAAGACAAGCTTTCATTACTCTCGAGTATGTGTGGAGGTCAACATCACTCAGCATGAAAATGAAAATAAGATCCGGATTTTCACCTCCAATGTGAAGTTGGTCAGTGCTACTATACGGATCAGAGACTTGGCGCGCCATGAAGAGCATCACAAACAAACTTCTGACCTTCATTAACAGTTGTCTTCGCTCAATATTCAGAATCAGATGGCTGGCCAGAAAAGATCAGCAACAGGGAGGGATCTCTGGGAGCGAACCGACTGTGAAACAAATAAGCCGGAAGAAATGGAGGTGGATTGGTTGGCCGTACTCTGAGGAAACCATCAAGTGACATCACTAGACAAATCATTGCTCGAGTGGAACCCGAAAGGTAAGCAGTGAGTTGGTCGTCAGTGCAAAGGTGACTTGGAGGAGGTTATGTGAAGAGGGGGGATGAGAGCATGTGGGCAGACGTGGAGCTAGGTGAGAACTTTAGCAGAGAACCGAACGCAATGGAGACGTGCTTTTGAAGCCCTATGTTCCTCTAAGAAGTAAAGGAAATAATACTAATAATTCAGGAAACAGGTTGATACTACTCACTACCAATAAGTAGCATGATACTTAGGGCAAAAATATTGAAAAGTAGGTAATTAAATATCTCCCTGAACTAACGTGTTGGTGAATATTGGAATGGATTGAATATATCATACGTGAGGTTGTTCCATAGAAACTGAAATCGTTGGCTGTTGAAGGCTTGTAAGGAGAGTATCATTCCATGTGTAAATGGGAGGCTGTGGGCAGTCGTAGGGCCGGGTTTTAACTCATGGCAGAAGACTCAGATACTGTACAGTTGTGCCTGTAGAGGCCTTATTTACATTCAGGAGGTAGGAGATGAATGCCTATTCTGAAAAGGTGTGTAATGCAGTGACATGAAAATATGTAGAATGTGACAAATTATGCTTTAAAAACATTTAAATGACAAAATCAACATAAAGATAGAATTATATACTCCTGGTTCACTGAGATGAGTAGTTGTCTGCCATTTAACTCAAACAATAGTGTTTGCAAGTCAGATCCAGTTGATCTAAACACGAAACTATGAAGACCGCAGAATTTTCTGTAAAAATGGCTACTCCGATCAATGGAATCATCGGTACGGTAAAGTAACTAGCTAGACATCGGGTGGTAGAAGTGATGATTATCTAAGTTGAGTCACGCCGATTATACTGAGGATGAAATCGACACTAAACGAGTGAAACTGCTACTAAGTGTCAAGATCATCTCGATTTAGCTCGCTAGGAAAACACTACTGGTTGTTGTGAGTGGTTTATATAACATGTGCGTCGGTGATACAGTGGTTAGGACTCTCGCCGACCATGCACATGGTCCGGGGTTCCAGCCCACGCCGACGCACACCTGATGTCTATGGTCGGCCTGCGAAATTTGGGCTATCGATATCCACACTGAAAATTTCACACTTGTACCAAAAATTATGATGTGGAATCAAACTGTAATCAAAAAAATTAAAAAAATAAAATAAGTTATGATTGCGTCTACAGCTGATAAGACCGAGTGAGCTTATGCGTGGGTATAATAATACTTGCGCAACGGACAACTCAACTGATTCGCTAGATACACCCATTTGTCCATAGTACCTTCTGCTTCACTGAAACAGGTGCTCAATAATAACCTGGTTATTACTTTAAACTGATTTCTTCCATAACTACTCACCTCACTTATTCAGTAGTGTATAGCTTCATGCAAATTTGTTTGCTCTCAAAATCAGCATTTATGGAATCAAGCAGATCACAGACAGTGATTAATTGGTGAATGTTGACTAGCAGTGGAATTCAGGATGCGCATTACGTCCTATTTGGGACTTGTTGGTGCCGGGATGTACCTGCATTCCGCAGTGACTGACTGTGTTTCCACCGAGGCTCGAACCTACTACGACCCAGTCAGCCGACGGGCAAATCTAAATTGAATCGAATAATCAATATGACCCGTTGCACAAAGGCCTAAATGGTCAATTGGATGACGCTTTGACGTTTGAAACTATGGGCACTGTGTTCAAGTTCCGGTGGGGACATCATCACTCACTGAGGAGTGCAAGTACATCCAGATGACGAGTCAGGAATAGACTGAAATGCACGTCCTGGATTCCCCTGCTACTCACCATCCACCAATTAACCTCTAAATTCACGCCCAGACATCGTCGAAAAATCTGCTTAAAGAGCCGACACGCCATCCTTCTGTCCAATCAATCGACGGGAAAATCTAAAATTTGAATAAAACAGTTTTCAAATTGTTAATTTGTTTCACTGTAATGATAAGCTCATGGAAAACTTGAATTCCATCAGTAGGCCGATGTACAGCTATCTAAAATCTTTGATTGTATATTAGGATTTATGAATGTTTTCATCCTGGATAAACTTTGTCAGACATTTCAAATGAACAGGTGTTAGTTTCTGACAGAGAAGAAATTAACTTCTTTTTATTATTACTCAGATGTATGTTTCATATACAGTTAAACTGTTGCAAATCTTCTATGTTGCTTTTAGGAAAGCTTTCAGAGGAGCATGGTATGTTGTTTTTACACTCTGAAGCATTCATTCACATTGTTTGCATTGAATGTATGTGAGAGTGCGATAATCAAAAGAATAGCCTGAAGACATACGGATTTCTTGCTATAATGACTCTTGTCAGTGAAAAGTATTTGACATTTCTGGAGAGAGTACATATATTTTAGTTTATCGAAACCTTCGACTTATACTTCGAAGTCAGTGACTAACACAGAGTGCACATTTCATGACAGAACAATATCACACAGAAAAAACCATTGACAACCGTGGATTAATGGGCATGTCTTTCGTTTAGTTTTTACTATTATTACTTCGATTAACTACCCAAGCTTTTGTTTAAATCAGTCAAAGATATCAACAAATCACCTAGTCTTATAGTCGCACATTTCAAAAACATTACGATCTATTCATTATTCATGTTCCTCATAAATTCGAAGGAATATAACACAGAGCATGGCAACGAGCAATGAAAAGGCGTACAAACGTGAATTAAATAACTTCCTCTAAGTCATCTGAGTAGAAGCTGAACACGTTAATGGAGTACGATTCCATTTATATTACATTTTATTACTTTGGATTAAGAATAGGGCATAGAGATCAAACTGAAGATCTCTATTTCATCCTGCTCTCTTCAACTCTTCACAGATGGCTCATTTATTGCACTCGATTTCTTCCGAGTAATCTTCGTATGTCCTACACGCCGTTTCCTATTCGAGTTACACTTGAGAGCCTGGCACATGTTGTCATTGAGTGTATTTCTCCTATATATCTCCTTTATTGAGTGTTAGGTCCTTGTTTAATCACCGCCACCACCGTTATTTGGTGTTAATTCTTTCTAACCAACCATCTGATATTCAGCATGTGGCCAGAGAACGAGATTGCTTTTCATGATGCGTCATATCATCATATCACGATGAAGTCACATAGCTTATTGAAAATTAATGTATATAATTCCACTTTATCTTATTGTTCATTTTTATTCGTGGTTATATTTTCCATTTCCTTGGTTTTAGTATTGTTTGTGGATTTCATGAGGAAATATTCACTGATCAGTTTCGTTCCCCCCATGTATCTGTATTACTTCCAAGAATCACAGCTCTGTTCCATTTTATTCTGTGACTGTGTGTTAGTGCTTCCATTGTGACTGCTGGCATTTCCTCTAAACCAGTTATTTCTGTCCCTGCTTTACTGGATTAATCTATGTGAGTGGCCTGATAGTTATTGCAAGATACTCTGTAGAATAAATTATTACGTCTCATTGAGTCAGTGAGATCCTTCCACCTACATACCATGTCGTTGGGTGAATTTGTAGCTTTTAAATACCACCCTAATTTCTGATTTATTAAAAATCCTCCGTTGTAGAGCTTCTCAGATGTCCTTTCCTGATATAGCAAGATGTTTAGTAGCGTTAATATTCATTTTTATTAATTTTATGGCCAATAGTTTCATGATTGCTATTACAAATACACAATGTGAAGATGAGGAATAAAGCCATAACCGTCATTCCTAATATCATAACTAGTTTTGACGCTTATTAGTAGCGCTTGGATGCATGGAGAAAGAATCTAATTAAAGAAACAATATTCGGTAGAGAGACCCATTTCAACGCATTTATTATCAAGCTGCTCTTATATATATATATATAGTTTTATTGAACACTAGTAATCAGTGTAACATGTTTAGTCCTATCTTTGGTGCAGACTGGGTTCTACCGGTCAGGCAACCTTGAATCATGACCACATTGCAAATCAAAGACTGAACTTGACTCATTACACTAGTGATCAAATGGTGTCCAGTAAAAGCATCCACTACAGTCCTACAGGAGGTCAATCGCGAGTCCGAATGGCTCAGTGATAACGTCTCTGACTACAGTACTCACTGGGTGATACGGGTTCGAATCTCAGGAGGGACATGAATTCCTTCAGGGTTACAGTTATACCCTGCTAACCAGTAAGTACCAACTAGAATTAAAACTGGGTCCAAGACCTCCTGCCGATTGCTTCCAATCAATACCAAGTGATGAAACATTTAAGGTCCTTTTTGAAATAGTTCATATAGATGTTTGAAAAGGATGTATAATTATAGGTATAACATAACATGCCGTGAAATGTGATAAGACAGAATTCAACATTGGACAAAATAGAATATTTCTATTTAGAATGACAAGTGGGATCAGTGAAATAAAACCGGAAATAGTTCAGAGTGAGAAAGGTAATAGTAACACTGATAATAATAATAATAATAATAATAATAATAATTGTGGTAATGCGGGTAAGGTACACAGACTAAAGAAATAAACGAAAATTAAAAATTAACAAGTGCTTATCACTCTATGGCCAAGGTAGAAATACGGACTGTACATACTTCTTTTGTGCACAAAAGTTTGGCTCAAATTCATGAAACGTCAAGGCTTCCACTGTCTTAAGAAGCCCAGAATGAATTTAGCATGAATTCGTTAGATGATGTTAAAGTCATGATCAGGGCTGGTAGAGTCACAGAATTCAATCAAATGTTTTCTAGAATAGATTTTCACACACCCTTGATTTCTTCCTTAAAAAACTGGACTGGAATTTATTCTCGTATTCGTGTGGAAAGCATTCTACGAATACGATCAATGTACTCTATTTTACAAAGTCAGGTGAAGTGATAGATACACATGAAGGCGGCCAGACGACGGAGCCATTGCCTTTTACAGAAACAGAAGGAATTACCACTCGTGAATCTCTTACTGAGCGACTTAGAGAAGCTGATTGTGATTACATCTGAAGCCTGATCACCTCTGAATTCCAAATTCGTGTTTATTTCAATAAATCTTTTCGGGCAATGGTTTTCTGCAAGTCTGACTTTCAGCAAAGAAATTTCTTTGTCCACTTATTCAGAACTACAAATGCTTCTTATCCTGGAGTAGATCAAGTGAGATAGGGTGAATTAAGTTCCTTTTCCTGTAGATAGACCCTCACCTGTAAAAATTAATTACTTTACCATTTCGTAAACGTTTCCGTTGGATGGATCTTTTCATCAGAGATCCGAGATTACGTCTACTTAGGCTCACATCATTATTAATATCATTACTATTTTTACCAGTTGAAAGTAACACAAATGTAATTACTACATTTACATTTCTCTTGAATGTTAATTTACCAACCAGTACAATGTCACAACTTCTGTAAGTTTTTTTTCATCGTACAAGTGTATCTATTTATGAAGTAGAATTAAGATCAACGCATTAAGTGTTACCAGTAAATAGTTCTACTTTCCACTTTATCAAAATACTTCAAGTACACTTCACTACAATTGAGAATACCAAATAGCATAAGTAATATATAGGGAGGTGGAGGTATTTTTTGATTACACAATACAAAAAAGATAAACAGATAATCCGTCAATCATCCCAACACCACCTACATACTGCACACTTGATTGTCTCATCTACTTCTATCTTTTAGGAAAAACGAAGTACTTCCATTTCTGACTTTGAACATAAATCAGCTACACAAAAATGCAGTAGTTTTAGTAGTAAGCAGCATTAAAACGATGCGCATTTCTTCCATTAGGTAACTCGTCAGCTGGATACACTTGTCTAACAGTGAGTAGTAAGGCTCCCCCACAGGAAATTCAAACCCATCCGAACCGTCACCTCGAACTACGAAGCATTATTTAAAATATATGTATACATATATACATCTTCACTTTAGGAATTAAAGTCTCTGAGGTGTGCATTCAGCTAATGCGTCTGAAATCGCACGCCAGATTTATCTGCTAGAAATAATAATAACTTTTGCTTTATTCCAAAAACAGTACTAATGATACAGCAAGGAATTTTCAGCATTCAGTAGAATATTGCATCTAATTTACTCAAAACGACAAAAAATAAACATTACATAATAATAATAACAAAACATTGTTATAGCAACTGTGTAGCAATTACAGTATGCGATAAGGACAAAAATATGCATAAAGTATAAAAATATAGTAATTATAGTTATAACAACTAAAAATAAAATCGCTAAGTTATATATAATTAAACGATAGAAAGGGTGACACCATAAAATTAATTACAGAAAGATGAACGATGAAAGGGTCGATTCACTTTGCTAATCACATGGTAACCTATGTGTTTCCCGTCTAACAGTGTCTCCATCACATAAAATACGGGCTAAATACAGTATTGTAGAATTTTGTACTTAGTGGTACGAGCATATAACTTTTTATATTGACTTCTCGTCCTACCTGATGAGATGCAAGGGGAAAGTTGTGAATAAAGAGGGTGCAGAGTGTCTGACAGTACGGCCTTTGTCCATTTTGTACAGGAATTTATATGTCTCTCGACTGTAATATTGGCGAGCTCACGCAGTGGCGTACCACAAGCCCTACTAACAGCATTTAATACTCTTCGTAATATGATGTAATCTTTTAGGGGAAGCCCAGAAAAGGTTAATAGAGAGCAATAGATTACAATAGGTAAAATACAGGAGTTTACAAACTGCAGAAGTAAAGGTTGGTTGATACCTAATTGTCTTAATTTTTTAATGTAGAAGGTAAGACGAAACATTTTATTAGAGATTGATAAGATGTGGGATGACCATGAAAGGTCAGAGGAAAGAGTTAATCCAAGGTATTTAATGCTTGACTTGGTTTCAACTTCAGTGCCATCTATGCTACAGGCATCATGGGAACTAACTAGTTCATGTATGTCACGTCGACGCTTGAAAGTGAAGTTAACTTCCTGACATTTGGAAGGATTTAACATTAGACTATTTGACCTAGACAACTTGCTGATGTCCAACAGAAAGCTATTAAGTTTGGAGTAGTCAGACTCGAAAGTGATAGGCAATGATACAGTCAGATAATCCGCATATTTGACAAAGTTAGTTTCGTTTGAATGAGGCAGGTCTTGTAGGAAGAACCAAAAAAGAAAAGGAGAGAGGATGGCACCTTGAGGAACACCGGCTTTTGTCGGCGAGGCAGAAGATTTTCCACTATATACAGTATACTGCATTCTATCAGAAAAATAAGGATGCCATAACTCTTAGCCCAAGATCCTGTTTGCGTCCTAAAAATACTCAATTTTTGGTTGATTATCATAGCGATATCGAGACATCTTCATCAAGAAGCTCAAATTCCAAAGTTAGGTTGATAAGTTTGATCGGAACATACATAAAACACGAGATCACAAATATAAATAAAGATAATTCCAAATGCCCGACACTGTATACTACTGATAGATTGAAATAAGTAGTTATATACCAGTCTTATTGAATAGTAATGTTTGCTAACCAACCAGACCGAAATAATCTAAGCACTGGATAGCCCTTTAGCTCATCTCATCAGTGATGTAGTCAGTTCGACTCAGCTCAGAAAGCCGAATTAGTCCAACGTCCACTGTTTCTGGCTAACTACATGGATGAACTGGTAACGGCCGAAGTGGAATTTCTTGATTCGCTAATTAATTTGTAATATACACAGTTCGAAAGGGTGAAATTTCAGCAGATTCTTCTTTGAAAACCGAAATTATGCCCCACCTTTAAAATTCAAATCTGTTTTACTCACTTAGGATGTTAGAGAAATCCACGTTGGGCTGTGCTTTCCATAAATGAACTTGTGTAGAGTGTAGTATATTATATCATAGTACATACATATATAAATTCGCCACCTGGCGTTAATAGACACCTATCAGTATTAGTTTATAGTAAATGAACCGATTTTGATTCAGATTACAAATAAAGATTACCTAAAGAACCCCTGAAAAGCAGGGAATACCAGATTGCACATCAGTTCCAACTTCAAGCTATCCAACAGTGCACACCAATGATCCAACCAGGTGTCGAATTCTTGTGGTTGTACTGAGAAATCAGGACTAGTGGAGTTAAGTGTGAAGATGAACACTGTTTTGTCTCGCGACCGGAATTAGTGTATACGATACCTATTGGGTTCATAGTTCCTCGTTGCTGAAGGGTTTCAAACGAGGACAGAAAGGACGTCCAGTAATCCCTCTTTTTTAGTGATGCTCAAGGTTATGTCGGTTTGTCATCTAATCTGAAACGAAAACAGAAATGATCAAGTTGTGAGCAGTTATATTTGACTAAATTCTAGTTAGGTTAATCAGAAGCTACGACTTTCAACATTATGATCCCCAGTTAGATTTAAAAATGAACATACTGACATCATTAAGTAAACTGCTGTGAATCAGGGGTTTATTGGGAAGTCTTTCTCGAAGCTGTTCAGCGGTAGGCACCAAAGACCGAAGCATATATGAAAGTCTGGAACATTCAGTCGTTAGCTTGGGATCTGGTGATCCTTCAGTATACATATTTACACATGATACTTCATCTAACTACATGAATCCTTGTAAATAATCTTTTCTTTCTGTATCCATGATTTTCTTTAGGAGTTGGGTTATCGCCTGATATCAGATGGTTACATTGATATACCACACCTTTCACAATATGCTTACATCAAATAAACGCGTTTTCCTTTAATTCAAATAAAATACAATTTAATAATTGCATTAAAAGTTTAGATTACTAACTAAAATTGTACTGATATCATCTGCCATGTGATTTTTTCAACATTTTATATATGATAATATTATTCTCTATATAAAATCGCATATATTTAAATGTATAGTATGGAATTCCCAATGTGTTTTTGATGATGAATCTATATATATACTTCGTTGGAAAGGTTCTGTACAGTGAGATGCTAGTTGACATTATATCGTCTGAGGCAAAACTATCCTATTTAAAGTACAATCCATTTCTCCTCATTTCTGTTTTTTAAAGTCGCGCGCCTCTAAATGGTTAACCAAAATCAAAGTTGATCGATTAAAACAACGTGGATTAAGTGAAACTTGATACAAACATTGTTCTAATGACAATTCTGTATATTTCCTTAGGATATGTTCAAAGAAGTACGCTTTGAGAAATGATTTCTGGCATCTGATATCGATTCGTCTTATGCATCACTTCCAGCGTTTAAATCGTTTAGGATATCGTGGAGTATAGTATCGTTATGACTAGTGATGCAAGCCTAGCAGTTGGCGAATACCACGGACCTGATGCGTTAAAGAAAACTCTTCCAAAACGCTAGTGACAATGTCAACCCCCCCCAACAACAATGGTTTTGTGAGTATTCAGGGCGAAGAATGCAACTCAATCGATTGACAGGGAGCTTGGACTGTCTCCAAAACATTGAAAACAGTTTAGACAGACAGTGAAAATATATATTATAAATGACTTTAGTGAAAACTGAATTCAGTGATAACAATAAAGAGGTGATAAACAGTGAAAGGCAAGACTTCAGTAAATTTCGGAAACAAAAGGCTGAAAGCAGTGTCATGAGCGGGGGGAGGCGCAGAAAGGAGTATTTAGAGTTCTTTCAAGGTTATATACAAGTATCAGAAAAACATGAGGCGTAATTAGCGTGTAGCGGCAAATAATTCCCCACAATTATTGACCACAGTACCCATCAGTGAACAGTGGATGCTAACCCTCACCTTTTAAGTCGACTTGTCTAGCTAAAGTCTTGCGGCCGAGCATCCAAACCATTTGGTACTCCGTCGTGTCATGTTCGTGCACGATCACTAGCCAGCTAAGCAATCATCTCGCACTCCGATTTGGTTCCGATATATATCTCGTAATTTGGACGATCAATTGTGGTGTTTTGTTTTGCCTTTGGTCTACGCGGAACAAATACTATGAGAGTTGTGGGTATTGGACCTTGCGTTAGTATACTCCGTACAATTCGCGAACGTCAATACCGTCAACTTCTAAAAGGGCTATATAACAGATATGATAGATGTCGAAGAAAGTTGTACACAATGTTTTCAAGGATAGTAAATTCTGCAAAAAATAGTAGACGCCTATTCCTTCAAGCTTGGAGAATAATAAGTGGACGTTTCATCCTAGGTTGGGACTATTCTCTGATGTTAACGTTAGATCTAGTGGGAAATCGAGCTAGCAACCATCAAAATACTAGGTGAGTAGAATGCCTGTGTGTGAGGTGCTCAGTACTCCACAAACTTCGATGGCTTTTGTAGGTAGTTTCAAATTGTATCAGTTAGAGAACTACTGGAGAACCAAGGACAACTGTATAACTGTTTCTTCTCAGATCAGGAGACTCTTTTACTATGAAGACCTCTCAGTCCTACATTATTCGTGCTTCTCTTATTATTATTTATTATTGTTTCCTTGGGTTCCTAGTAGCGCATAGGGCTTCAACTGCACGTCTTCACTTGATTCTGTCTTGCTTCTGCTGTACTGTTCACCTGCATCCATGTTAGTTAGTTCATACTGTTTCAACTGCTCTTCACACGATCTTCTCCTCCATGCCACCATTGCACTGACGTCCCACTCTCCGCTTCCCATTCTGTCGGGTTCCACTTGAGCAATGGCTTGATGCCCGATGTCACCCAGTGCTCTCCTCAGCGAGTGTCCAATCCATCTCCACCTTCTCCTGGATATTTGTTGGTTGGCGATTGGTTCTTGTTTTGTGTGTTCCCATAGTTTCTTGTTGGTGATTCTTTCCGGGTCGGCCATCTGGTCTTCAGTATAGATCCAGAGAAGACAGTTGTTGGTTGATAAAGGTCAGCAACAAGCTGTTGGAAATATTCTTTGTGACCTACCTGCAAAGTTTCTGATCCGTATAGAAGAACTGACTGACTTTACGTTTGTACTGAAAGTCCGACCGAATTTTGTTGACGAAGACTTCCAGATTGCTTTCAGGTTGATGAATGTGTTTCTCACCTACCTTCTTGATTCTCGCTCGATTTGATATCCTCGTCCGTTCCGACTGCCTGTAGTTGAGACAATGCTCCCTATATAAGTGAACGAAGTGACCTCTTTCAAATCCCTCCCGTTGATGGTGATTGGCGCTGGATGTTGCTGTTGTTGTTGGTTGGTTATTTTCATCACCTCTGTGTTGTGTATGTTCATCTGGAGTCCTGTCTTTATCGGCTGCTTCTTTGATCAGTTTGTCGGGTTTCGGTTGTAAGTCTTCGATTTTGTGTGACATCGAACATAAATCATCCACACGCGAAATTCAGGTCTTCTAGGTTTTTCACGTCGGTCCAGGATATACCTCTCTTCTCATTTTCCATTGCCTCTTTAATCCCAAATATTCATGAATCATGTATAACCATACAGATAAACATTGTCAAAACCATTCGGAAAACTTATTTTGGTTCCAATTTACATTCATTATTATTATTAATAATAATAATAATGATTACAAAAGGTTTTTTTAGACATTACGTTAACACATAATGCAGAATTTTCAGCATACTTAAATTGCAAAATATCTACTCTTTGTACAGGTTTTTCAAATAAAATGACATGCAACAATACATCGTGTGACTCTGTGTTGCTCCATCTCAATCAATATTTTAATCCTCGGTATCACATTGACACCACAAAATTAAAACATGCGCAACTTAATGTATCGATCTAGAAGCGTAAATTAGATGATTAAAACGGTAAGAAATGGAGGAGGGTTTATTCTTTGTGCTTGATTTAAGCAGACCAGATGATCACATGAGAACAACTGTTGCTCATTGCTAAAAATAAATACACAAATATTCTCGTAGATTTTTGCAATTAGGCATGTGTTTAAGATATAATGTTGAGCACTATTTAAAGTATGTGTCGGTTATAGAACGCTTGCAGACAAGGCACGCGCTTCGACTTTAATCACTGACCGACCAACTTCTAAACATCATCGAATAACTTAGCCAGTATTAAGCACGAGAAAATAGTGAAGTTCATGCGTGAGGCCAGTAACCATGTCCCTTAAGATCAAGATTGTCGCTACTGAAACTTCAAAGCCTAGTGCTGAAGGCATATATCTCACCTGGATGGCGAAGTATGCGAAGAAACAATTAAATTAGTTAGGATGGCTCTTTCCATCTTGGAGAACAGGAAAACAGAAGATATATCAAGTTTCTTCACATGCATAACTTAAACTCACTGGTAGAAGTAACAAAATTCACATCTAAATCGGAAAATGAAAAGGAGAATCGGCTAGCATGTTAGATTGTAAAATAAAACTAATCAAAGAGGGTGAGTTGCACACCAGCTTTAATAAAAAGCCAACCACATTCTAATTTTGGTATTATTTAGATGCTAGTTAATTTCATCCGTTGTCTGTGAAGGCACACAACCTTATTTAGGTGTCTAACAAACCAAGCAATAGTATTAAGTAGTACAACGACAAAAAAACTAAATGATGAAATGAAACAGATAGGAGAGGCGTTGGTGTTAAATAACTATCCTGCAAAATTCATTAGCAAGCTCGAAAAAGGTCAAAAGCAAAACAAAAATAATTGTGAAACTAGTAATGATAACGTAAATAAGAGGCATCTACTGCTATACCATATAAGGAGGGGATATCTGAGACCCTACGTAGGATTCTCACTAAAGTAGGAATTAGGGTGGCATTTAAACCTACAAATTCACTCAGGTAGGACAAGCTCTGTAGGCGGAGCCAATTATACAAAATAATATAATTTACTAAATACCTTGCAATGACTGTGAGTGAGGTCTATTACATAGGTCAAATGAGTAGATCGAGGATAGCCAGATCGTCTGTCAGGATAAAAGAATTTAGCCAAGGGTAGAATGGTTGGTCGCACGAAGATGATTAGTTTAGAAAAAAGTTCAGCGATCGCAATGCACTCATTAACAAACAACCACACAATAGGTTGGGAGAAGTCTAGAATTATAAGAAGTAATCTAGGTAGGTGGAGAGAGAGGGACTGATTACTGTATCCTGGTTCATCGAGTCTGCACCCAATACTTGCGATAGAAATGACTCATCATCACTCCTACCTGAAATATGGAAAATACTACTACCAATCAATTCAAGCAATGACAAATAATGAAATTATATAAACGAAGTTTGAAAACTGTGTGGGTCATGCCTTGGTATGATTATGAGCAGCAATAAATTGTGCTCCAAAACGTGGTCATCAACAAATATTACTGTATAAGACACTGTGAGACTTTGTCAGAATAAATTTTACCCACAATGGAATTAACAGAAAAGGTGTTTCGAGAATCCCTTCTTGACGATTAAATTGCAATGGTTATACTTCAGGAGAACACAGAGAAAACAGAGGTGATGATGAAGATTCCTGGGAAACAGCAACAGTAGCAACAGCAGACAACAGTCATCATAAATGAGAGGAACCTGAAAGAAACAACCCAATTTACCTGCCTGGGATGCATTGTTTCAAATATAGGCGGAACTCAAGAGGATATCAAAGCGAGGATCGAGAAGGCAAGGCATGAAGAATGAGATCCAGATTTTCAAATCCTATGAGAAGTAAGTCAGTACCACTATACAGATCAGAGACTTGGCGCGTCATGAAGAGCAACTCAAACAAATTACAGACCTTCATCAACAGCTGTCTGGCAACGAACGAACCGATAAAAAGGGAACCAACCGTTGAACAAATAAGCAAGAAGAAATGGAGGTGGATTAACTGGCCATACTATGAGGAAACCATCAGTTGACATCACTAGACAGGCCATTGCTCGAGTGGAGCTCGTAAGGGAAGCGGAAAGTTGGTCGTCCAAGAGTGACTTGGAGGAGGCCATGTGATGAGGAGATGAAAGCATGTGAGCAGACTTGGAGACAGGTGAGAATTTTAGTAGAGAACAAAACGCAAAGGAGATGTGCAGCTGAAGCTTTATGTTCCTTCAGGAATGAAAGGAAATAAAA